ACAGGGATCTTGTGCACAATTTTTTTCTGCTTCAACCTTCCAATTCTTCATGCCTGCGAATCCGTGAACAATATGTAAGCTGTTGAATAAAATTGCAGCCCATTAATTACGTATCTCCATTTTAGTCCAGGTAAATCATCAAGAGGCTAAACGCTCACCTCTTCATGACTTATAACCCTTCGGAACAAATAGATGTCAAATGTGCTAGGAAACTCACATGGAGAAGAAGATTCTATCACTTATTCATTCGAACTTAAGTAGCTCTGACTGACAATCTTTTGCCTCTTTTTCTAAAATTATTTGGGCAATGCATCATGAACCACCGTCCTAATCATAAGCTGATAACGATGAGTCTCCATCTTCTCACAATAAACTAGGATACTCAGCATTGTTATGATGACTCTTATGCTAGAAACCTTTAACAGGAAATACTCTCCCGCTATCAATATTTAATTTTTGCTGTTGGTACCACTTCCATCAAAGTGGAAAATCAGAAGACACCTTGAGATTTGCCATGATTGAACTTCCAATCTCTATTTTAAAGTGGAACTCTCTTGACATAATTATTTCTAGTGAATCATGGAAGGTTGAAGCATGCCCTTGATTTGCTTCACTTAGATATATCGATTCAATTGTAAAGAAAATATGGTAAGGGAAGGAACTTTATGGTCTCTCATCAAATGCACCATAATTGTAATCTTGGTGTTCTTTTCTCCCCTCAATTTGTTCTCCATGTCCTGATTCATCTATCTGATTCTATTTATAGATTTTCCTTCGTAATTTGGTATTTTCTTCTTCAAATAGACTAAATTCACGAATTTATCCCTCTTTGTTTCTGTAATACTTCATGCATGATGTATCAGATATGAACATCCTCTTTTGGTAGAGGGTAGAGAGAAATGTGAGTGGGTACTTCCAATAACTGTGCATGCACCTCCAGGAGGAGCTCCTGCAGCTCAGACAAGAAATGACAGGTCATTCTCTTTGGAACCCCTATGGGTCCATACATAAAGGTAAATGGAACTCTCATCTTCTAATCTAGCTATTTTAACTTGTGATGCTTTGCACTGTGTGAGAAGATGTTCTAGGTTTCTCTTTAACATTCTTTTATGTATGCATCGCCTCATCTTCACCTGGAAAGAAAAAATTCTACTTGTCTTGCAACTTTAAGATATCAATCTAGTCATAGTTTTCTTGATAAAATAATATACTTGTTTCATGTAGCAATTAAGCTGATTGCTGTCTGCCATTTATGGAAATATTGTACTAGTTGCCCTGAAATTTGAGAAAAGTAGCAGTTAGCTCCTCTATTTTGCTTGGCACGACTAATGTTTTAACTTCTGAATGGTGGTGTCATTTAGATTGGAATGTCAGTAAGAATTTTAATATATGGGGGGGAATATTTTTCAGGTCATTGATCTGAGTTTTATTTTTTAAAGACCTATGTGCATTTTATATCCTTTCCCTTTATTTTTGAAAGGTGAGGTAAAATACATATTTTTTGTAAATCTTGAAATCCAATCCTCAACGGAAGTTTTTACCCGTTATTTGACTCTCCTATTTTTAGCACCTTGTATCCTTCAAGTCAACTTGATTTTTTTTAGAGTTCAAGGTCTTCGTTCAGTGGTGCGATAAATGCACCATCGTCTTCTATTTATTGTGTTCACACTTTCTTTGTGCATTCTACACCTAACATATATAGGCCAGTGCATTTGAATCAAGTGAGAAATACACTTTTTTTAAAAAAAAAAGAAGTGAGAATACACGAATGAGTTCTCTCTATTTCTCTCCACTTATCGCACAGTTGAACAAACACTTCATTAGAAGAAAGCATTTGTTTGCTGATCTTGTTAGAGAAAGGAACATTATATTAGTTTAACCATATTTTTGCTCATATCTTCTACAATCAATTAACGTTAAAACGCTTCTACCTTGCAGTCTATACACATTCCGAAAAGTTAAAATGCTTGGCTCCATTACTGTTGAGATATCTCATCGGCAACCCCTGGAGCTTGCCCACCCGCTTGTCCTCCAGGATCTGATTTCAGAAAGGATGAATAGTAACTGTGTTTCAGTATTATTGTATTTTAGCCATCAGTCGATATTTCCCCTTCCAATCTTTGGCGTTGTGTCATGTTTTCTCTTATATTATTTTTTATATGATGAGAAATGTATTTTCCCTTTCTCTATTCTTGTTTTTTTTTTTATAGAGAACATTTTGTTTTGGAGATCGTTACGTTGAATTGTCATTATGTATATGATTAGAAACGTCTAGTGAGGTATGATAATATTGGAAATACACTTTACATTTTTCATTCATGGATTAATAAGCAATGTGATGTTGACATAATGGATGGCAGAGTATTTATCATTCCGTCATAATCTCTACTCGTAGTTGCTACGAGAAAATGTTTATCAATGTTGCAACTCTTAAGTTGTCAAACTAAGTGTTTTTCTATGACATGCTATGCAAGTGAAAGGAATACAAAAGTAGAATGTATTACTCCCTTTTTCACTTATCGGGAGTCAATTTTGATTATTCTTGTAAGTTAAATTGGATAGATCAATTTAAATATTTAAAAATTATATAAAAAGTTGTAGTTCTCTTCATGTCAATATGATGAAGAAAAGATACATTTTAGAAGTTTGATTAAAATTTTATTTATGTATAACATCAACTTGAATTTTCCGTCTATCTACTCGAATCAGTTTGGTAAAACGTATTATGACATGAATTTAAAAGGAATCATCTCAATACAAAAGAATAATATAATAAATACTTATCTACGTCGGATATTTATATCAAACTATAAAAGATCATTATAGTTATATAGTCTAAAAGATAAAGATTCCTTTTGTAATATTATTGAGTTTTCGATGAGTAATAATTCTAAATTGAAGATTTATACAAAAATTACTGAAATAACTTTCTTTTCGCTTAAAACTTAACCAAAATTTTAAATAGATATAGAGAAAAAATATTGATAAACTGTTAAAAGATTTCACCAACACTATTAAGTATTATTCTTTTCTATCTTTTTGTTTTTGTTTTTAAAGAATAATTAAAATTTACCAGTTTTAGTTTTTTAATTGTCTACATAAAGTCTCTTTATTTCATTCAACTTTCTTTAAAAAATTGAATTATAATACTAATTTTTAATATTATTTTCTTTCTTTTCATAAATAATTTGTCATATGTTGTTTTTATCACTTAATGAGTGAAAATGTATATTTTTTCTATTTTAATTACGTGATCAAATTTAATTGGACACTTAATTTAAGGAGAGATTTTTAAAATTTTAATTTTATACATACAATAATATTTGTGTAGTTATATGACTTTTGAAGTTGTTTTATGGTTGAAAATGCAATAATATCATGATGTTGTAAAAGTCGTCACTAAAAGTAAAATAAAAGATTTTAAAATTAAATTATTTTAAAATTTAAAAGAAGTAATAGTAATTCTTTCTAAAAAGTGTTTAAAAATATGGTCGTGTGGATCGAATTGAAATTCAAATTAATATAAATATCGATCATTTTATTCTTACAAAAAATGACAAGGTTTGAAGAAAAAGTAGATATTAACTCATTATGAACGTGTATTGTATAGTGGAAAGGCTACTTCTTCCTTAATCATAGATCTTAGGTTCGAGCCTTGAATATGAAAAAAAAAATTATAAAAAGAATTTTCTCTCAAAGCCCTACTATCACAAATCCAAATTTAAAAAAAAAAGAAGAAGATATAAACTTATTATATTTTCTTTTACGTTTTAGCTTTTTCGTTAAGTATATCAAATACGATATTTAACTATCTTTAATGAACTTAAAAGTTCAAGTCTAAGACATATTAATATTTATTATAAATAAAAAAATTAACATTTAAATGATGGCTCAATACCTGTCAGAAGATTCAAATGGAAGATATTCACAAAAAGAAATTAAAATAGAATATGATAGAGGCGACAGAACATGGGTTGATGACTTAATAACTTCACTAAGATTTAAATGAGGTGAGGGTACAGTATGACAAAAGCAATGGAACATGTGAGATAAAAAGAAATAATAGGATATATTACATAAATTTTATTATTATCTCGTGAAAGTAAGTAAAATTAGGTTATTTTAGATACACCAAGCAAAAAAGAAGAAAATAACATAGAAAACATAACAACTAACAAAGGAAGCAATACAAAATCTGCAAAAAAAATTAAATTTGAAACAAGTACAATAGAGCGAAATACAATAAACAACGAACAATGATAGATATCAAAAGGTAAAATTACAATAATACACCTAGTACAATGACGGACAAACAAACACCAACAAGTATAAACCTTCAGAAAGTAAAACAATCCTGCACTATCTACTAAAATTCTATTCTAGTTCGCATCCTTCACACGGTCTTGTTATTGGTACAAAATTTAAAATTGTACAATATCCTGTTTAATCACGTTCCTCAGTATAATGTCTTTACCGCTCCTCGTAGCTACTATAACCAACATCTCTTACCTCCTCACAAGAGTGATGCCTATCTTCTCTCCACATGTACAAACCATCTCAATTTTGCTTTCCTTATTTTATCCATCACGAAAGTCACTTTCGCATTATCCCGAATATCTTCATTTCTAATTTTATCATTCTTTATATGCCACATCTAAAAAAAATCGAGTAAACTGACCTACGAATATAAAAAAGAAGAGAAAATCGAAGGATGAGCAACTCATTACAAACAAACATAGCATAGAACTAAAAGAAAATGACCAAAATATCTTCAAATAAACTGTCTACTTACTTCTTGTTTATTATATTAAAAAATATTAAAATATTGTAGAATAATTAATACAATTTATGAAGGACATAGGAATAAAAATAGTACTACTATTTATGTAAGATGAATTTTTTTTATAATTATAAAAATAATACTTATAAAAAACTCCATATGATTTGACCAAAGATGAATATTCAGAAAGTTGTATTGACCATTAAGCCTGCTGGCCCCATCTCACTTCATCCCTGTAAAGCCAATCTGTATTTTTTTTTCCTTTTTCTGCAATCAATGCTCATTATAATTTATATATATTTATATATTCATTTCAAAACCAAGAATCACCAAATCCTCTATTTAAAATCTTGAATTTGGTAATAAATTTATCGTTGAAGACTCCATTGAAGTTTCAAGAACCACTCTTTCAGGTCAGTTTCTCCTATAAAGATGTAAACTTTTACGTGGGTAATCTTCAAATCTTATTTTTATTCAAAAAAAAAAAAGATTGGTGCTTCAGAGGATTTTTATTTACAAATCTAGGGTGGGTTTGGATCAATTTGTGATCTTGTTTGAGAAATTCGATCTGAATTATGGTTTCATGGAAGGGATCAAGTAGGAATATTGTGCTTGGATTTAACTCATATTTTTCATTCAGATTTCCTTTTTATAGTTTTATTGAAATGATGAAATGGGATTTAGAGAGTTCCGTTTCAACTAGTCACTATGTCCCATATTTCTTTGAAGAAATGTGTTAATATATGTCAATTCAATTCTGTAATTGGTTAATATTACTGTCCAAAAGAAAAGGATACTAAAATTAGATAGGAGAAGTATCTTGGAGACCAAGGGTTCATCTGTTTGGTACAATAATATAGCTTAGCCATAGTGAGTAATAAACTCATGGGAGGAAGTCTAACTCGGGAGCTAATATTGTGAGTATGCGTGTTTTGAGAGAGAGAGAAGAGGGAGAGGGATACCCGGGAGAATACTTATTTGATGATCCTCAAATATACTTCTGGTTTAATTTATTTTCGCCTGAATCAATCGAGAATTTTGAGTTGTTTTGGAGCATCAGTTCTAGCTTCTGAGCATTCAGATTCCATACCAATCATTATGTGATAGACCTGAGTGTAAAAACCTTCTTTTCCATGTGGTTTCTGTTGGCAGCCCTGTCTGCAATTGACATAGATAATGGATACAACAATATCAGTTCTTACAAATAAGCTGAGAGATGCATCTGATTGGGTCACATGGATATCCGAAGCTCCGTTTGCAAGAGCTGTGGTGTTTGGAGTTAACATTGGAGGTATTTTCCCTATCCATAAAACAGCTATAATTGTTTAACTAGCTGACCTCTGAGAAGACATACTCTTTTGCCTCTCCTGCAGGGCATCTATTTGTTGAGGGTCTTCTCCTGGTGGTCATCCTTTTCCTACTATCACAGAAAAGTTATAAACCACCTAAAAGACCATTGACAAAGAAGGTTTGTCAGTCTTCCTTTGTCACACCTAAATTATCCACCGGTTCTTTGTTTGTTACTTGCCTTATTCTGTTAGTCCATCTTTTGTGTTCTTCCACACTCGGTAATTTTCTCATATTGTTTGGGACTGAGGCATTATTATTGTTGTTTGGTTGTTTTTCTCATTCATATGAACACTACATGTTCAACGTCCAATCTATATTTCATACTCGTGAATTGCTCTTCCTCAGTTCCAAAATGATATACTTAAAAGGAAAAGAGAGTGGGAGAGAAAATTATTGAATTACAATACACTCCCATCTTCCAGTTTCTGTTTTGTGGAGTTAAATGATTATCTTGTCGGAAAGTGATCAAGGCAGGGATCCAAATTCGAAGACCGGAACTTTCTGATTAATATTGAGAAGACACAGCTTTTAGCTGGCTTCTCTTTAAAGTTGCAAAATTCCTAGGCCATAAAAGATAATAAAGAAGTAACTTAAAAGAACTTACATTCTTAGAAGAATAACATAATATTTTTTAAAGCTGCTGCATTTAACACTCTCTCAAAGTAGAGATCCTCCTACTTAAAGATGTCAAACTCTTCTATTTCAAGTATACTGTAGATTCCTCCATATCCTGTTCTCTTAACTGCAAGGTGCTTGGGAAAATGAGCAGTGAACTTGTAAATTGAAGAACTCCAAACTTTCTGTTTGTTTTTGCAAATCTTTATCTTGACCTTTGTATAGTGATTGGTGTCATCTGGTGCTAATATATTTTCCACTGTTTGATGTTCATAGCTAGGAGGTAGGCTTCTTATTTATAAGCATAGAAGTCTTTCCTTGGCACCATGTACATTATTATCGATGCTGGGTCCTTTTGTACTTTATGTACTCTCTCTGTCCCAATTTAGGTGAAATACTTTCCTTTTTAATTCCTCCCAGTAAGAGTGTCTCCTTTGCTTTAAAATTATTACCCTTCATGAATGATTATTAGTCTCACAAATTGTCAAGTAGTTCTTAGACCACAAATTTCAAAAGACTTCCTTTCTTTCTTAAACTTTATGCCAAGTCAAACGGTGCCACATAAATTGGGGCGGGGGGAGCATTTAATAAATGGAGGAGGTGGACATTATTTGCTTTTGTAATTTTTAAGATAAAGAGAAATGTTGTTTGTAACTTGTCAGCATTTGTTTGTAAGTAGCAAAGTTGTCTATCTTCTATGCAGCATGCTGCTTGAATACATTTAAGCTGATGAACATGTGTGCTCTGCTTTTTAGGAAATAGATGAACTGTGTGATGAATGGGTCCCGGAACCTCTTATTCCCACCATTACAGATGAGATGAAATCGGAGCCTCCAGTACTTGAAAGGTGGAAATACTCTTTCATTTGAAATGCGAAAGCATAAACCTCCTTGTTAGATTCTATTATCACTATTCTGCATTTTTTCTCCTCATTTGTCTAACTATGCTTTTACCACTATAAGATTCTATTCTTACTTAAGGGGAGAACCAGCCAAGGAACTAATTCAAATGTCATACTGTTGTATACTGTGGGAATCACCTCTAGAGCCTCTAGGGGCTACCTATCTACTCTCTTTTTCTTATGGTCTGATGATCCTGAACTGAGCCTAGCAAGTACGTTAGAACTTCCAGGAGGAATTAGAACTGATTTAAGGATTTGGTCTCAAACATTTTAGGTTAAAGAAGATGAGACTCAATGGGGTAACAAGGGATGGGACTCAATAAGTTCATTGGGATTTTAAAAGCTATTGACACTAAAAAAACCACTGAGCATGCAGCTCACAAGAGAAGAAAAATTTAGATAAGCTCTAATTGCGTGACACATCTACCTATTCCCTTTTTGGGGTTGAAGAATAAGAAAAGGAAATATCTGCAAGTTTGTCTTGTTAACCCGACAGTCATCAAGATTTGCTTGGTGTTTGCCTCTTATACTCTAGCTTACTCAGGCTAAAAAATTTTAAGTCAAGTTGTGAAATCATCCCCCCCCCCCCCTTTTCCGCCTGCCTCCAATTTTTTTCCTTCCCTTCTATGAGCTACTTTAATAAATTGTACCAAGTACCAACATTATAGCTTGCTTCAAAGAAACCTTCCATATTTCTGTGGTTGTTTTCTCTTTGAGTTCTCTCATTTGTCTAATTGCTTACAAGTTTTATTAATGCAGCGCTGCAGGTCCTCATACAACTATTAATGGCAAGGAAGTAATAAATTTCACTTCAGCTAATTACCTTGGGTTATTAGGAAATGAAAAGTTACTTGTAAGAAACCCTTCTTTTGAATAGTTTGAATTGTCAACCTATATTTTGCATGTGGTGCTTGATTTTCAAATGTATCATTACCTGATGTCGTATATCAGGAGACATGCACCAGGGCATTGGAGAAATATGGTGTAGGTTCTTGTGGTCCTCGTGGATTCTATGGAACAATTGGTATAATATGATATTCATCATTAAGGAGTTAGTTAGTTTTCTTCTGCTGTCCTTGCCAACTTCCACTTTCTCTTTTGGGAGGCCCAACCTTATCATTCTTTATTTCATGCAGATGTTCACCTTGATTGTGAGGCCAGGATAGCTAAGTTTCTTGGAACTCCCGATTCTATACTCTACTCTTATGGACTTTCTACCATGTTCAGTGCAATTCCAGCATTTTGCAAGAAGGGAGATGTCATTGTTGCGTAAGTTTATTCATTCTTTGCTCGTTGATTGTTGATATCATTCTTTACAAATTTAACCAGTGTAGAACAAATTTTTTTTTGAATGGATCCTTACGCAGGATGGAGTATCTTATCTTGGGGTAGGAGGAAGGGATTATGAAGGAACCAGGCTGTAGAAAAAAAAATCAAAATGGCTGTGGTATTGTTAAGACTTCTAAAATGAAAAAAAATAAAATAAGCTGATGTTCGTAGATGGAATTCATTAAGAATCTTCCACCACTCTGTACTCAGATTTCTTTGTGCTATGTTTAGTATCAGAAGGTGGATTTTTAATATTAATAAGCTTCTCACCCGTACGTCTCCTGATAATTTTTTTGTCAACTTAACAAACAAATTTATACCCATAAATAGGTATTGCATCCGTAAGGTTTTTCTGTTGTACATTGCTTCTATAAACATATTAGAGTTTCATGAATTAGTTCTCATTTTCAACTATATCTTTTGCGTGCATAGGGATGAAGGTGTCCATTGGGGAATACAAAATGGACTTCAGCTCTCTAGAAGTACAATCATATACTTCAAGCACAATGATATGGAGTCCTTGAGAAATACATTGGAGAAAATCACTCAAGAAAACAAGCAAGCTAAAAAACTTAGGCGATATATTATTGTTGAAGCACTATATCAGGTACCTTCTGTTTTATTAACAGGGTTTTATTTAATTGTCAAAGCTGTATGTCATAGCATTGCCTGGACCATGATCACCTCCTCAGGGGACGAAGGAGGTGAGAATTTCATAAGCTTGCAATAAGTTAAATCCAATTTAGGCTTGCAGTCAGACTCAAAATTTGACCGGGATTTAACTTTAAAGATGTAAGCAAGGTTGATTAACTGTATATGACACTTTAACTTTTGCATTAGCCGTGGTGACCTGTTATGATCCAGGAAGTTCTGAAACCTGTGACTGGGTTACGTTTTGTTTGCCATTCAAGAGATAAGTCTATAGGATAATTCACTTCTCAATTTAATGCAAACTCTCTCGTCCCCCCACCCCATATCTTAGCCCTTCCTTAATGAAGTGTCAGAATTGGCTTGGCTGTTTCTTAAATTGGGATAAGGTTGCATTTATCTTGTAATAAGAAAACGGAAAGGAAAAAAAACCGACAAGAAAATGTGCAGGTTTCTGTTTGTTGTTTTAACTTGTTAATTGCCAAGCACCCTGTTTCTCTGAGAGGAATATTCTTTAATTCATTTGTTTCTACTTCTTCTAGAATTCTGGTCAAATAGCTCCATTGGATGAAATCATCAAACTGAAAGAAAAATACAGATTCCGGGTATTGTTGGATGAAAGCAATTCCTTGGGTGTGCTTGGCAGTTCTGGTAAAGGTCTAACAGAGTATTACAATGTGCCGGTATGTTACTGATAGCCGCAATCTTCAATTATTATGGATTGTATTTTCTGTATATCCTAAACAGGTTATCCTGTTGCAGGTTGACAAGATAGATATCATTACGGCTGCCATGGGGCATGCATTGGCCACAGAAGGAGGATTTTGCACCGGGAGTACAAGAGTCATTGAACACCAGGTATTGAAGTGTGATAGGTTGCCACCAGACTATAGTCACTTCCAGTGGCGAATCTAGGATTTCTAGAACATAGGTGCAACACTAAAAAATGAAGAAGGAAAGAATATATTTAGTAGGAGTTCCCCTAGTCTTCTAGATATGTAACTCAAACCTTCACCATTTAGTCTTTTTGAATCCTGTAGCATAAATGTCAACAATAATAATATACAATTTTAGAAAGTGCGTACATAAAATACCTAGTTTTACGGAGAGACCACGGGTTCACATGCCTCGCTTTTTGTACATAAATTCTCCCCTGGCCTTTCAACAACAAAAAAAAACACGTTCAATCTTAATAATCTTGTCATTAACTCCTGTTCACTTTTTCCAATTAAGCCTTTTTGATGGTGTTCTTTGTTTGGCAGCGTCTCAGTAGCTCTGGCTATGTGTTTTCTGCTTCTTTGCCTCCTTATCTGGCAAGTGCCGCAGTCAAAGCTTTTGATATATTGGAAGAAAATCCTGGTCTTATCACAAAATTGAGGAAGAACATTAATACACTGTTTAAAGGTATATTTGCTCTACACCAAGTGTCTTCCTTACCCCTTCTCCTTGAAGTCTTCAAGCTCATGTCAAGGGTTGTGAAAAGATATTAACTTTTCTACCTGGTATGGTTTCAGGTCTAAAAGATATTCAGGGGATGGAAATAATGAGCGATCCACTATCTCCGATAGTTTTTCTAAGACTCAAGAAGTCCACAGGTTCTTCAAAGAGTGATCTAAAACTATTAGAAGATATCACGGATCGTGTAAGTGATCATCTTAGTGTATCTGTAGTTTCTTCTTATTCTGTATCTCATACACATCCTAATAATAATCTTCCACACCACAAATATTGTCATTGCAGGTCTTGAAGGAAGATTCCGTTTTTGTTGTTACTTCAAAGAGATCAACACTTGATAAATGTAATTTGCCAGTTGGGCTTCGATTGTTTGTGTCAGCAGGACACTCAGTATCTGATATGGAGAAAGCTAGTAAATCATTGAAGAGAGTCGCGGCTTCGCTATTGACAGATCAGAGCTAGCAGAAGGACGTGGTTTCATCATCTTAAAACTTTGTTGAAAATAGGGGCAGAAACATTCTGGGAGTTCAAATAGGTACATGGAAAAAAATATTGAAGATACTTCTCTTTTTTTTTTTTTTTTTTACTTTTGTTGTTCATTAGTGTTTGCATGTCAACTATATTAGATAGATCAAGATTTGCTTCTTGAGGTTGCCATGCTGCAAGCCCAGAGAAGTCAGTTGTCTTGATTAATGTTGTGTTTTATGTAGTTGTGTTAATCTTCTTCCCCTTACTGATTATATAAAGAAAAATAGAATGGTGGGATTTTGTAGTTGACTGTATAGACATGTTATTTCTTATTGGTGTGGAAGTGACAAATCTCAATATTTTAAGGTTTCAGCTAAATATGTGGATTAACTATGTTATGTTTTATTTATAATGAAGGGATAATATCTTGGAAATATTTGAGTAAGTATAATCTGGCCTTTATTTTCTGAAAGAAAAAAGAAATTCAGGAAAATGGCTTATTTTTATGATAGATGTTTTCTGTTGTTTGTTGGAGAAGAAAAATAGTTTTTGGGGAAAACATATAATGAAAGGTTGATAAAAGTTTTAGCAAATTTGGTTGTGTTTTAATGAGATTTTTTGAGTATTAAAGCTTGAAAATAATGTCTACATGTGAGTTGGAGCAATGATTTGCTAATTAAGAATTGAGATGGTTATTAAGGAACATAATTTTGTCTAATAAGGTTGTGTTTTGGTATAGTATTGTCTTTTTTATTTATTTTACATTATTTTGTCATGATTTTTTATTTATGTCAATTTCTTATTTGATAGATTTTGAATCTTTTTTCTTTCGTAACGCGATCTATTAAAAACGATCTCTGGGAAAGGAGTAAGGATGAGATTTATTTTACATTCTATAATTTTAAAATTTCACTTTGAGATTACATTGAATATATCGTTATTTTTTTATATTTTATAACTTTCTCATGTTTGATTTGTTAAATTGTTTTTAAAGATGCATTCTATAAAAAACAAATTTCTTCGAAATCAAAAAGATAATTCTTTAAGTAATATCAAAATCAAATTTCATAAAGGATCGGATTTCAAGATTATTGTCTCTTCCCCTTGACCACCCTACCTTCTCGACCTTCACCCATGGTGTTCTTTTAGATTTCATACAAATATTTTTAAGATAATACATTTACTTATTATTTATCATAGAAAAAAAAGCAAGAAAAAACTTCAAAAAAATATATATTTTCATATTCCCTTGTGGGGGAATATGTTTTCCTCAAAAAGAAATTTCTAGCAGACAAATACTTGATCTTATTATTTTTCGAAAAATTATTTCTACCATTCCAAATATAGAGAAGTGTCACACGTAATACATGTATATTAAAAATTAGAGGAATGTTCAAGAGATATCTACGTCTAATCTTCTTGTCAAAGTAATTATATTGTCTACTAAACTATAATTTGTTGATTTTAGTCATACGTTAACATGTGTTCTTTCTTAAATTTCGTAGTGGAGTCCGGATACATCCTAAAACATCATGATATATTGATATATCGCGTCTCAATTTTGGATACATCTTTTAATGTTCTAATACATCACGTTTCGATTTCGAATACGACTCAACATTTCGAGACATCATGTACATTCCGATGCATCGCGTAAAGTGATGACGACATATTGCATAAAGTAACGTCCTGATATATTACGTGTATCTCAGTACTTGTGATCGATATATTGAGTAAAAACAATAATTTTTATAATTTTTTGAAATGATAAAGAAATTTTACAAAATATAATAAAATAACTTGGGTAATGTTTGCTCTTAATACGTGAATGTGTTTTGTTTGTTGTGAAGGAAGACGTCTTAATATCATTTTATTTGATTGACTCTGCAGTTTCATGTCATTGTCTAGTTAGTTTTCTATAAGTTACTCATTTGTGTTCAATTTTATTTATATATATAATGATCATGTTTATGTGAAATTGATTTGAGAAATTTGATAGTATTGAAGGATCGAGTTTATTTATAAGGAGTGTTAATTAGTTCGTTAATTTATTAGTTTATTCTTTTTTTATTTTGAGTGTTTCGCTTATATACTGTACCTATTTATTTTATTCGCGTACTTCATCTACTTATTTATATGTATTATTTTCTTAAACGTGCTACGTGCTTAAACATCCTACTTACTTAAGTAGATGACACAATTTCTTAAAAGAAATTCTTTATGGTATCTCATATAAATCTAATTGCAGTATTTATGATTCAAATACTATTTATACCCTCCAACTAATTAAATGATTTAATTGTAAATCAATTTCCGAATCTACACCATGCATTAAGAATTCCATTTTTTAATTTTTTAGCTTATATAGAAACTAAATGTATGTAATTTTCTTTCACTTCTTTTTCTTTTTTAAATAGACAAAACAATTCTGGACTTTCAAGTCCATATAACAAACTCCTACTAGAATACGCATGAAGATACAAAGCAAAAGCTAATAATCAATGTCTCTCTTTTCATGATCGTTTTAGTTCAAAAAAATCATTACTTAAATAACTCAAGATAAAAATTCATAATTATTTTCAACTATATTGTCAACATAAAAGAAGTACAATATTTAGGAGGAAAATTCAGACTACTTTCATGAGTTATATTTAAAGCGTCATTAAAAAATTTTTACATAAAATTTGTATCGAATATTTTTTGTTAATATAGTAAAATATATTAAAAAAACTAAAGGGAATAGGAAAAGACAATGATGGACAACCTAAATAAACAAAGACAATTGCTAATCAAATTAAATTCTAGTACAATTAAAAATATCATTTTGCACTTAAAATCCTTTATTTTCTTGTCACTCTTTTGCTTGTTGTCTCATTAGGTCTCCATTATAATAAAAGTAAAGTAAATCAACCATGTGAAGTGTGAACCCACCCACCCCCTAACTACCCCTTCACAACTAATTTTCTAAACAATTAAATAAATAAAATAACTACTTCATCATAGAGATAAATCATTTTATTTATTTTATAATAAACTAAAAAGGACAGTTGAGATTAGATTAGTGCAGTATCCTCTATGAGATGGATGATAATTATGGATCAATATTAAATATTATTACCATGAAATTTTACTAAATTAATATAGGTGGAATCACGAAATATTATTATTCTATAGAGGTATTATTTAATTGATAAACTAATTTTTATTAATTTAAAGAGTGTTTTGTAAAAACATCATGTATGAACGTGGAGTCATGACTAATGATCCCAATTAAAATAAATAAATTTACGTCAGTAACCTTTTGGATTATCCGGATGAAAGTGGTACATGTTCAGAGGTCCATATGTGGATATCTGCAAAACAATGTTGATGATTAAGTTGAAGTTAATATGATACCTTTACAACCAATTACGCATAAGAAAACACATATCACATCTAGAACTCTTCACAATTTTATGGTGCAGTTCAAAAATATAACATTGAAACTTTTTGATGCAAAGTTAGAGATGAATTTCAACTAGATTGAAATTTTAATTAAAAAAACCACAATAGAATCATATTTTACTAAAATTTTTAATATTGATTAGACCATATACCTATAGAGGAGGCTTTTGAAAATATATTATCTTATTATTTTATCGAAATATAGGTAATTTTTTTCATTGACCTAAGTCAAGAACGAAAAATAATATTATCTCAAATAAATTTTTAATTTATCAAATATTAATTTAATTAGTTTTTACTGTGTAAGTCAAATAGATCCTCTTATTGTAGTTTCACCTGATTATTATACAGATACAAATTATTTATCACCCTCAGTGTTTGAGAGGATGTATTTCCACCTGTTGCTTGTTCCTACGTCTATATCTATTAATCTATATAATCATATTATATTATAAGTAGGAAGCTCCAAGATGTAAAGTTGAGTTACCATTTTATTCCTATACTAAATAAAAATGTTATACTTATATTTGATTTTTTTTTGAAAAATATTGAGCAGTAAACTTTTTTTTATTATTAATGAATTGAGAATATTTGAAGAGTTATGAAAATTAAATAATCTAAATGTTAAAGAAAATGAAGAGACAAATGTTAGTTAATGAGAGCAAATAGGTAGAGATTTAAGTTGCACATTAACTAAAATATAAAAGCAATTACTTTACATTGCTAGAATCTTAAAAGTTGTAGATTTCAATACAATGAATCTCATAGTTAATATATTAATATATGTTATTTTCAATGATAAATACATGAAAAGAAACTAAAGGGACTGATTAATCATTTAAAGTGAGTATTATATGAAGCCAAGAATAGTTTTCATTTTTCTCAAATCCTCTCTCCATTTTTATGGGCTCTAAAGAAGAGTAAATCATTTTTCTGAGCAATTTTTTCTCAATCAATATCAAAGTTAAAGGTTATTAAAATACGCTATGAACGTTGTTCGATTTGTGCAAGAATTTCAGCTATGGATGTTGTTGGATTCGTCAAAGAAATTTCTTAGTGAAGTATACACTCATGACACTTATTATTTAATTTCCTTGTTAGGGCTTAATATCTGCAACACACAACATTAATATTTACGGTAAAAGATTTCTATATTTTACTGATTTTACACATATTTCATTAACGTAGCACATAACATTTCACTTATTCATTTAAATATTGTAGTTGTATAGTTTTTTGGATTTTGGATCTTAGAAACAAAAACACCATATAGGATGCTTATTAATTTTAAGAACATGTAATTTGTATTTTCTATTTTATAACACATAATATAACTTAAAAATATTGCTAATATACAATCTTCACAAAAATATTTTTATTTATATGGGAGAAACTAGTAATACTAATATATGCAGAGCCTCTTTCCATTTCCTTGGGAAAACTGCAAATTCGTCGATCTTCTAGGCTAACAAAGGTATGCTCCCTCTCTCTGCCCTGCTTATTTTCCTGTCTTTCCTTTGCGAGTTTGTTTATTGGACTTGGACGACATCTATTGATGTGTATGTTTGTGTCTTTCTTTCTTTTATTCATGTGTCTTTTGTGTTTGCTTTGTTCGTTTTCCCTAGTTTTGGCCAAAGGATTTCGCATACATCTTCTCTATGCTTTCGCCGATGCTCAATAGGAAAAAATCCATGGAGTATTGCTATTGTTTTTCATTTGTTTATCTGGGGTGTATGTAGGTCGTCTAGGTTAGCAAAACTAAAAACATTGACATACCTAGGTGAAGGTAATAATGTCCTGAATTTAGTAGCTCCTTCTGCCGATGCCCAAAACAATAACAAATTAGCTGAAAATGTCATGTTACATTACATTTTAATTTAAGATTTGGAGTTCATAAGCTAAGATTTTTCAAAAGTTACAAGTTAACTTAACCATATTGCACCACAACCACAATAAAATTCAGCTGATACGCCTTCAAACTTTTTATTTGATCCAAGTTATGAACTTTTCTTAATGGCCACATAGCAGCAACAGGGGTAGGGCTGTATACACACACTACTCTCTTAGACTCTTTGTAGGATTATATTGTTGTTACATTAAACCTTTCCTAAAATTTCACATAACACTTGATGACAAATTTTCCTTTTCTTCACCACCACACCTTCTTCTTTACAGTATATATACATAAGGTCAATCATGCAACCTAACTTTACACTCTGTCTTTTCTACAAATCCACCTCAAGTTGTGAATTTACAGTTCAAATGTAGATATGCTCTTTTTAAGTGTCATCCTCAACAGATATACTAGCAATCGTCGTCAATTGTTTTCTACCAAGACATCTTACAACTATGAACAAATGGCTACAGGAACTTATTATTATGGATATATTGTAAGCATATTTGGTTAACCCAAAAAAGAATTTAACTGTTTTTTTTCGTAAATTTTCAAACAATAAATATGCACATTAATTTGATGCACTCAATAGTAAAAACACTTTAACCTTCACTATATGGGATCAAACCATTATGGATAACGAAGGCAACAAAGTGTTGCAGCGCCTCCATGAATATCCTATAATACTCGCATGCCGTATCGGAGGATCAAGATACAACGGTAAGATACAAATAATAACGGCTTCTGTTTAGCCTAATGACTTACCAATATTACAGGCTTCAATATTATTGGTTTCACATAATTGGTCTTCTATTTGTAGAGAGGGTCTTTTATTGGTCAAAAAATCAACTTCTGTGTTGCATAACTCTTGTGCCACACTCGCGTGAGTTTACCTACACCAACTGTAGAGTAGATTTGTGATTTGACAACATAACAACCAAGGATTTCTAATTATAATAGTCTTTGAAACTTTTTATGTCGTTATCGTAATAACTTGGATTGTTGTATATTGAACATTGCCAAGTTTAAAATTTATGGATCGTCTCCTATACGAAGGAAGAAAAAGAGATGGCAATGGGGAAGGTGAGAGATTTTTTACTGTGTTCTTTTTTGTGGGGTTTTTGTAGTTAGAATTTTGGTATAATCTGTTACTTCAGTAAAGTAATGAGAGATAAATGTTGATACCATATGGCCACGAAGTTCACGATCCAGTGTTCTGCCTTTGACAATGATATAATTTCTGTCATTTAACACTTTTATTGTGGCTGCATAAGTAGAAGGTCTTCCAATGCTCCTTAAATTTATTCTATTGTCTTTATTTGCACCATTGATTGCACGGTGGTTTTTGTATATTCTTAATAGATAGAGGTGGAGTTAAGTGGATGTTCATGGGTTCGACCGAATCCAATAACTCTTTCTTAGGTAGGCACTTCTTCGGAAGCCTTATACTTGGTGACCACGAATCATGGATTATGTGAATTGGATCGTAACAGAATTCATTTCAGTTTTATTCCTTGCCTGTGATAAAGATATATATATATATATATATATATATATATATGTATGTATGTATGTATACACGCACGCAACTTTATGTTTGGGATGTTTATTTTACCCAACATTTCACTAATGACTGATTAGTCTTACCATACTAGCTTTAAATGATCTCAATTTGCATATTACAAATGTAATGACCCGTGAGGTTATTTTTAGAAAATTTAAATTATTCGTATAACTTGAGTTAATTTATTTATGAGTAATTGTAGAAAAAAAATTAATAGATAGTTAGTGGGCTACAGTGATCAGTTATTTAAGATTTTATACTATTAGGGTCATGTATATATATATATATAAATAAAATAAGTTAGTGGTTTTTATCAGTTTAATAAATAATTAATTTAGAAAAGAAGGAAAGGCAGAAACCTTACCTGAGCGACGCACGAGAGAGGAAAGGGAAAGAAATTCGATCTCCAGGTAACAATTAATAGAGCAATTTATCGCAATTGTTTTGTCATATTGACTCTATGTCAAATGGAAATTTTGTATGAATTAAGAATTTGGTTTAGCGGAGTGGTTAATATTTTATTCTTATTTAGTGTGCCATTCGTGGGATTTTGGGACTACTGGAAGCACCATTATTTTATTATTATTATTATATATAATTAGTATAGTGATAGTGCTTATAAAGTGTTGGTTACAGGGGTGATTTATGATGCTGTGCATCTTTCTGGAGGGTTTGGGACAATATGATACAAAGAAAAGAAAACAGTGTTGTGGCTATTGATATTATTATATATTCTTAGGTTATTAATTTTGTGTGGAACCCTTATAAAAATAATTGTAATTAGTTGAGTCTTTTTTTTAGTATTTCAATGTGTAATGGTTGTCGTACATGTGTGTATGGAAAACAAGTATTTGGAAAAGTGTATTCAAGGGGTATGAGTGAACTGTTGGGAACGGAGGTTGTGCTCCTTCCGTGAGTAATCGGTAATTTGGATTAAAATTATTATTATCATCACATTCTGAGTTAAGTTTTGGTACATGGGATAGGTAATTAAATATTAGATTTATAGTATCATATAAATACCATTTGAATATGATACTTAAAATATTAATTAACGTTAATAATTACAAATTTGATTATAAAGTTGGGGTGTATTTTTGGGTCAAGGTTAAACACATAAAAGTGTGAATGTTGTTAGTTCTGAAAACCTTATTGTGAATATATACTTGAATAGATTCTATTGGTTCAAAAGCTCAACGGAAAGGGAAGGCTCAAGTCCAAGAGTAATTATTCGATTGGATAAGGCAAGTGGATTTCTAAACTCTTGTTAAGCGTACGAAATTCGTGTATTTCCTTGTGTGATGTTGAGAATGATTTGGAGACTTGTTGTTTATTTGTTGGTGTTGTATTCTTGTTGCAAATTGTGCTTTGTTATCAAATGTTTATCTCCTCCTTTTCATTTGAGCATGTCATTTGCATTGTATCTGAGACATGGTTGTGGTAAGAGGATGTACTATTTTCGAGGGTCGTATCGCGCGCCGCGATGGATATTATATTTCGAGGGACGTATCGCGCGCCGCGAAGGTTACTATTATCGAGGGTCGTGTCGTGCGCCGCGACAGATGCACGGACAGGTATGTCCCCCATGGGTCCTGGACTGAGAGACAGCGGGTGTGTATCGTTAAGAAAGGCATGCATCACGATATTTGACATTGCATCTCATGGCATTGCACATTTTTATTATTAATGAACTTGAACATGTGTTTTGCGGATCTTGTGATTGTTTCTCTGTGAAGCTTGTGACTGTTGAATATTGAGTTGTTATTGAGAATGTGTAAACTGTTAGAGTGTGGTTATTGAGTGATGTGTTTGGTAAACTGTTAGGCTGTAGCATGGAGGTTTAGATAGGGCGTAAGGAGTACCAGTATTTTGTTCACTTAGCTTGTGTTTAGAGGTTTGCTTGTTGGGTACCGCGTGGTTTGGTACTCACCCCTTGCTTCTACAAATTTTTGTAGGTTACGAGCCCGGATTTTTGTGATACCTTCCATTCTCTTCGTTTCCGAGGCATTTTGTGGAGGATTGTGACGTAGCTGCTCGTCATCTCAGCGAACTTTCCTACTCCAGTTTATGACTTTGTTTTTACTTGAAAGACAACTTCATTTTAGACTTCTATTTTGTTTCAATTCTAATATTTACATTAGAGGCTTGTGCACGTGACAACCTGGTTTTGGGGATTGAATTAATATGACTTGATTTTTTTTTTATAGAAATTGTTGTTGGGATGTCATTTACTTCCGCACTTTGTTAGATATTGGGTTTTAGGCTGACTTGTCTTGGTGGGATAAGACGAGTGTCATCACACCCATTTCGGGTCGTGACAACAAAATAGTTGAATGCAATTTGATGTTATGCTTCGTTTGTGTGGGTTTAGATTTCTTCAATTTTGGCTTTCTTTTTTTGTCTTCTTTAGCTCCTTTTTATCTTAATTTTGGACTTTGCTTTGAACTTTAATTTTTTGTATTTCTGAGTTTCATCTTGTTTGTCTATAGTTTCAAATGAAAACATAAAAACATAACATGAAATTAACTGTGAAACTAAAAATACGATGATAAAAATAAATCCATCGGAAAATTAATTAATGAAGCGAACAGTAGAAACCTACTGCTTCAATGCTATCCTTTGATCCCCCGCACATATTTTTGAGTTTAAATTGGTTATAAACTTAAAATTGAACTGAAATTTTTCTCCTTCCCTTCCCTTCCCTTCCCTTGTTCTTTTATTCGATACTTACACAGACACATAGCCATCATCAAACATGCATAAATATTACTGCAACTTAGAACCTGTATATTAAAGTATATTTTCAAATTTCAATTTTTCTTGTCAGGTTCTCATAGGATGTTGTTTCATATGTGTATTGTGGTTCATTTCTAGGAAATTCAAGTACCTGTTTTAGGCAGGAGAAATTCATTAGATGGTGAAATTGGGAGTAATGAAGGACTATGTCATTATAGAGGTAATTTCAGGGAGTATGTCTATACGCGTTATATGAGGGAGGTTTGCTCAAATTCAATTATGGAAGTCAATAGAACACTATCAAATTCTTGATTCGTAGTGCTTCAAAGTTCTCTCAATTTTACTAATTATAAATGCTTATTAACATGTTTAACATTTCCTCAACTTATAAGTACCTAATTTAACTCACACAAGTGTATCATTGACGATCAAATTAAACACAGCAATTCAAATTGATCCCCCTTATGGACAATGACAACAACTACGAGCATGGTATTACTTTACTCCTCCATTATTCTCACTATGTTTTTATTCTATATAGATGAATTAAACACTGTCAACAATTGAGCTTCTTGGAATTATATGCAGGATAATAGAGAATAAAGCTACACTTACTACATTTACTTTGAGGAGCACATCCAAATCTGGATCTCTCATCTCCACTCCAGTAGATGAAGAAGTCATCCCAATTGCAAACGCCAAATCCCAGAAAAATATTAGTAAAAAAATTAATTCATTATTTATCTAACACTCACAACAAACACCTGCATTCACTTTCCTTACACAGGGACAGACATTTTCAATTGAAGCAAAGATATCCTTCCCGGCTGACCAAAAGAAATACTATGTTGTAGTATGTTTTATTGTGGACAGGACGTCCGTTACCCAATCATCATGCAAATTCACTGCATGAACTGCGGCCAACACATAATGTTCATCCCCAAGTACTATATTACTGCACCAACAACATCAAATTTGTGTACTTAATTTTTTATGACAAGTAATAACATTTTCAACATACAATCACAGGTGTCGATTTAATGTAAATCTGGAAGATAACTCAGGTACAACAACAGGAATGATTATTATAAAAAAAGGGAGAAAAATTGATATCCCTAAGTGCGGAAGAAAAATACGAAAGAAATTACAGTCAGATATAAACTCTAACTAAATAATATAGGTATGATTCTTACATAAATAAAGTGATTAACATGATTTCATACATAATCAATTCATGCAATTATCCCCCTATAAAGGATCACACAGGCTTACCAACAAGATCTTTTCTATTCAGGCAAAAAAAGGCGTTTACACGTGCTCCAAATCCGAATGCTACAAAACTGTACATCCAGTCGTGCATGGAAAAGGAATACACCACATCCCCCTACAACACCAAACGAAATCAATATCCAGGAAGTAAGAAAAGGAAAACAACAGGCTGAACCAGAACAAACGAGTAAACATGCAGAATCATCATCACTAAGAATGAAGCAGAAGTTGGAGCCACCAACTCCAGAAAAACCAAACTAAAGGTCATTATCACTCCTAATTCATTGTTCAACCTATATTTCTCCAACATACTAACCAAACATCTTCTTTCGAAATAACTTTTATAGTTGATCCAAGCTTTTTGGCAGCTACTTTTTACCTCTGTAAAGAACAGGTAAGTGCAGCTCCATTGGTTTATGCTAAAGTCTCAAATACAAATATTTGATGTAATATTTCTGCCTTACAGGAAACAACACTTTTGGAGATCTCATCAGGTCAATCAGTTGCCCACCACTTCGTACAGTTTCTGCTTTGCCACCAGGCCAGTCAAATCTTTTTGCCTGAACTCCATTCAGAATCCAACTTCAAAGGCCTAACACGCAACTGCACCACTAACATCCATTTTCCCTCTTTTCTTTGCGAGCTTACTGTATAACCTTACACAAAAGTAATGTAAATATATTTCAAATATGACCGCGCTTTCTTTATTTTTATGCTAATAAAAAATTCGCCCGTGCAACATCGATACAAAATTTGTCCGTGCAAACACCCTAGTATCATTATAAGTGAGAAATTTCAAAATAGATTAAATGTTTTTAACACAACAAAAGTTTATCCTTTTATATCCATGATCGAATTATTACTATTATAAGTAATAATAATAATAATTCACCTAAGAAAGTTAATTTTATATCAAAGTTTTAATTCATAAATTTGAATGGTACATAATTTGATGGTCTTCGAACAGTGAAATATATAAAATAAAATTCAAGTCTTATGTCATTATGCTAATTTGGCAGACATTGTGCATTTTACTTTAGAACCAATTGTAACATTCTTTGAAATTCGAAAATATAAAGACTAGTAAAACTTGAAGAAGAAAACAATGATAATACTACGAAGAACATGAAAAATAAAAATATCTTTAGAAAAATCACTATAATTTCTAAAGTTTCTCCCAAAAAACTGTCAAAATTTTCACAAAATTTTGGGGCAAGTTACATATTCAATAGATTAGCAAAAACTAATTATATTCATTAGCTAAAAATTAGAATAAATTAATTCTTACTATTATTTTGATAAACAAGGATTTATGTCTATTTTTCGATTAAAAAAATCATTACTTGGAAAAGGGACAAAAGGGTAATGAAAATAAAACTCACTAAGCAATCATCTGATAGAGTATACAAGATATATACTCCAAATCATGTAATATATATTGCTTAGATACACCTAATCAAATATCGCATAAAATATAATATTAATATAAGTAATATAAGTATAACTACATTTATATTTCTAATACACATTTCAATATTATTTTTATACAGACTCTCCAACGATCCCTAAGATATATTCCTAACAGAGTGAAATTATTATGGTCATGCGATGCATGTATAATTTACCCCTTTTTTCCTACCTCTTTTTAATTGTTTTTTTCCCCCCATTGTTATTATGTATTTATATATTTATGTTCTTGTATTTTTAGCTTGAGATAATCATCACACAACAGTGAGCACACACTGTGTAAACCATATCGTATATAAATATGGCAATATTTTTATTGTTTTCCTTTCTTAAATGTATACTTTGTCACCCAAAATTCACAAATTCTTCCACAAACTTTTCTTTTTTTCTCCTCCTCTCCCAAAACACCCTACAGGGAAAAAGAAAAGGAAAAAAAGGACTAAAATTATCACTAAGCGAATGTTTCCTTCTTGTTGGATAGAGAATGGAAGCTGATGTTTCTATTCTTTCGACAAAGTTAAAAAAAAAAAGATTTCTTTTTTGTGGGATTTTCTTGAAAATTAGCGTATAGTGTTGTGGGGTTTTGTGAGATTTGGGTTGTGCTTGTGGAGTCAAAGATGGTGAATTGAATAGTGGGTTTTTGGGTTTCTTCTTATTTTATTGATAATTGGCAGAGAGGGTTTGTTAGAGATGATGAATTTGTGGGTATTTTGGTACTTGAGTGTTGTTTGTTTTTTGGGTTGTAGAGTTCTTGGTAATGTGGTTTTGGTAGGAAAGAATGAAACTTTATCGTTTGAAGACATTGAAGCTAATTTTGGTGAGTTAAATCTTACTTTTACTTTGTTATGCCCTTATTCGTATCGTATTTAGTTTTGATCTTTCTTCTATTTTGTATTATTTTGTTGTAAACTGGAGTAGTTTTGGAGTGATATTGAATGGAAATTGGAAGATGAGTTCGTTTAAAAGTTTTAGTAGCTTATGTATACTGAATTTTTTTGTTTAATTTTACCTGCCTCTGTTACATGGTAAACTAGACCCTATCAATCTAGTTTTTGGCAATTTGGAGTTGTCAATAGGTCATTGTTGGGAAAAAGAAGTTATTTACCATTCTGTACAGAAGAAGCTTCACTCTTGTTAAGCAAGGCTACCCTTTTTCTACCTTTTCCTTTGTTGTACGAGAAGGAATCAACAGATCTTTATTTGCATTGTGAGAGATCAGTCCAGATGGAACTGAAAGAACTAACGTTCAGGGCTCATGACTAACAACACTTAGCCATATATTCTAAAATGTAGCTAACAGAACTGATCTATCCTAACTAATAGAGATCACTATCCTAATTTGTAGTGATTGAACTTTATCTCTAACATCCCCCTCAGGCTAAGAAGGTTTGCCCAGTCTTGTGAGAACTGAAAAGCGACAAAAAGCACGAAGCAAGGCGCAAGCACTGCGCTTTTATGCTCTGAAGCGAGGCGCTGCTTGAAAAGCAAGCACTTCAGTAGGCGAAGCGAGAAGCGCGCTTAAAAAGCAAAGGCGACAAAAAGCGCGCTTAAGTGCTGTTAGTGTTCTTTTTAACTTTTGTATAACACACTTGTCTGCTGCGACTCAAACATTTCCCTCTTCTTCCTCTGTGACTCAAACATCTCAACAACTGTTGCTGCCATTCAAACGATAAGTTCTGCCTCTCTTTTCTTCTTCTTCTCCTCTGGACTCTCTTTCAGGCTTTAGCGACTGCTTCTAGGTTTTCTTTCACCTGTTATGCCTGTTTTTTTTAAACTGATTTGGTTTTGCTCTTTGCATTTGCTTAGTATGTTATGATTATGAGGATTATTGACCATCTGTTATATACTTAATTTATTTTTAATATGTTATGATTATGAGGATTATTGAGTATCTTTTATTTACTTCTTATACTATGTTATTTATATTGAGTTCTTGGCAATTTCTATATGCATATTTAGTATTTTTTATTTTTGTACTAAATAACGCTTTAGTAGAAAAATGTGTGCGCTTCGCTTCACAGTTCACACTTCACGCTTCTTTGAAGCAAACCCTCAATGCTTTTTCTGGCTTCTTGCTCTCCAAAACACTGGTGTTTGCCCAAGATTCTTGAAAACTTGCCTTTGATGAGTTGAAACCGGCTGGTGGACAAAGGCTTAGTTAACATATCTGCTAATCGGTCGATAGAGGATATAAACTGCACTTATATATGACCAACCTCGACTTGTTCTCTGACAAAGTGAAAACCAACTTTGACATGCTTCATTCGAGTCTTTAACACAGATTGACGGCTAGATATGAAGCTCCAATGTTTTCAGACCAGATGATTCTGGGGTTACGGATTGGCTAATTGGCTATTTAAGTTATTGAAGAAGAGAACGAAGCCATATTATTTCTTCTGTGGTATTGGGATCGATACTCAACCTTCATTGCTGGCCAGGATGTTAAATTTCGTCCCATATACACAGCTAAACCTACCGTAGATCTCCTACGACCTGTGTTGCCTTGCCCGATCAGCATCACAAAAAGCTTGAAGTTGGGAGCTGGTTGAGTGAGTAATAAAAAATCCTTGCTGCAAGGTGACTTTGACATATCGAAGAACATGTTTGCAGGCTGTCCAGTGAGTGGTTGTTGGTGCAGATAAAAATTGGCAGAATTTGTTCACAGCAAAAGCCAAGTCTGGATATTGTAGTTCTCCCACAGTTCTCCGATAAACTTGGGATTTACCAGCGATTCGCTTTATTGAAGTTGCAGGTTACATGTGCTAGCCATAGGAGACTTGACAGATGTGGCATGTTCCATGCGAGCAGAGGTGAGAAGATCCTGAAGGTATTTTTGTCGAGAAAGAATAATACTACTGCCGAGATTTCTAACTTCAATTCCGTTTAAGTATTGAAGTTTTCTGAGATCTCGCAACTTGAATTCTTTGGAAAAATTGAGTTATGCAGGTGTGAACTGCATTTGAGTGACTCCCTGTCGATGATAATATCATCGACATAGACGAGGATATAAAGAACATCACTGTTTTAGTGTTTGATAAAGAGCAAGGAGTCAGTATGAGAGCCTGTGAAACCAAGACTGTAGGGCTTGTTTAAGCCTTTAAGACCATCGATTGATTCCCTCAATTTACACATAAGCAGGACATCATCAATCAATAAAGCTGGAGATTGAGACGTTTGCACATCTGCTTCCAATTTCCATTGAGAATTGCATTGGAAATGTCCAATTGCTGAAGAGTCCATCCGTTGTAGATTGCCAAGGAAAGAACACTTAGCCTGTTGTAGGCTTGATAAATGGACGGAAAGTGGCTTCATAATCTATTCCCCCAACTTGATTCTTTGACTACCAACCAATCATTGTACCACTTGGTGGTGCCATCAAGTTTTGATGTTTGATGTTGTACCAAAGCAGTCATTTTAGAGCTCATAGCGTTTCTCCATGATGGAACTTTGAGTACTTTAGCGTAGCATGTTGGTTTCGAAAGAGTAACAGAGGAAGATTGAACTTTATCATCCGAAATAGACGAAAACCAATAACTTCTTCTTAGTATTTTGCCCTAGAACTACTGGATGAGTTCATTCAGGTGGTCGTGATGGCTCAGTAGGAGTTGGAAGGGTATCCAGTTGTTTCTCTGAATGGAAATTAATGTGGTCTTGAGAAACACTGGAAGCTGAGAAGCTAGACCAGAATTGTTGTTGTTAGAAGAATCTTCTGAATTATGTGGAAGTTTCGAAGATGATGGTACAATTGAGTCAGGTTGCGGTATTGACGCAATCAATATGAGTCATTGAGTGGAAATAAATTGCCCCGGAGGAGTGCCTAGAATAGAGGAATCAAACAACTTTTTCTCCTTAGATACAGAATGGGTTTCATCTATATGAACATGTCTACTAAGATAAATTTGACTATCATGAGGATTGAAGCAGACATACCCATGATGGTCCTTGGCGTAACCGAGAAAAACAAAGCTGCTAAAGACACGACACAGTTCATAATCTGGTGAAGTGCCCTGAAGCTTTTCAAATGGTGAGACATGTTGAAGCACTTGAGTGGGATCCTGTTAACTAAGTATAGCGTGCACAGCGAAGTTCCAAAATCTAGATGGAACTGCAGAATAAGCGAGCCAGGTGAGGGATGTATCCACCAGGTGTCTGATATTCCTTTCAGCTTGAACATTTTGCTGATGTGTATGAGGACAGCTAATGTGATGTTGAATACCAGGTTGATACTACGAAATTCACCA